ATACCCCCAAAAGCCCTTTTTATTGTTTTTAACCTCTCTAGCAAGCCTCAGATTTATTATCTGCCCATCCTGATCTATAAGAGATTCTGTGTAGTACGGAGAGTTTCAGTGACCTAACCCCCAATGGCCTGTGGAAGATGAGGTGAGTGGACAACACCTTTCTCTCACTGGTTAAATATTTTTATTTCTTCATAATTTTTTTGGAAAATGTTATCATTTTTGACAGCAAGGCCACAGGTTTGGTCCTGGGTGCAGGGGAAGAGGCTTTGGAGTCTAGCGGACCCTGTGGGCTGGCTTTGGTAGAACAGTAGCCAGAACAATGTCCACCATGAAGGCAGGTAGGTAAGTGGCTGGCAGCCAAATAAACTTGGCATCCCATCCAGCACTGTAGCGGGAGCGAGGGTGCTTGGCCTGCAGAGCATGCTCCATACAGTTGGTCACTTTGCTCAGATCTGGGTCACAGATGATGTTCATGATAAACTTCTGGACCTTCAGGTCTATGGAAAAAGGTAAAGACATAATTTAAAAAGTCATTGAAAAGCACTTCTTTTGTACTACCTGCTATATTTCCTCTGCTCCCCTATCCCCACAGCATTTTATACAGGTTGAGTCTCCCTAATCCAAAATACTTGGGACCAGAAGAGTTTTGTATTTCAGATTTTTCTTCTTCTGAATTTTGGAATATTTGCTCATACATACATAATGAGATATATTGGGAGATGGGACCCAACTCTAAAAACAAAATTTATTTATATTTTGTGTACACCTAGCCTGAAGGTAATTTTATACACAGTATTTTAAAAATAATTTTATTCTTAAAACAAAATTTGTATACACTGAACCATCAGATAACAAAGGGTCACTGTATCAGTCACTTGGACAATTTTGGATTTTGGAATATTTCAGATTTTGGAATTCCTGATAAAGGAGACTCAATGTGTACAATATTTTGTATAAATATAAAATGTACCATATACATATATCTCACACACACATGAACATACAGTATGTACTCTATAGAGTGTATCTGCCATGGGTTTACTATACTGATGGATCTTTCACCTGGCTGTGAAACACAATGTACCCAGCCCCAGTGGCGTCAATAGGGTTGGTGTCACCTGGTGCAGTAACTCATGGTGTCACCCCCCATTGACCACCTCCCATACTACACCATCCAGAATCCTTAGTAATATTTTTGTACTAATGTACAAATCTAATGTATATAAATCATAATTCCCATATATCACCGAATGTAATGGCAATAGTTGTGACAAACAACTAACAAAATTAAAATTATACCTTTAAACTACAATATCAAACACACAGCCTAAATATATGTATATGTACATAATTTCATGGGGTTAAAATGAACATTGGTAAGATATGTTTGTTAAGAAATTTTTAAAAAATATTTTTTCAAAATGTTTGTTTAATTTTTTTAAATTTAAAAACCCTAAGGCCTTTCTTTTTTCCTCCCACTGAGCCTCACCCCACTGAGCTCCAGCATTTTAAAGGGATGCAAGTGAACACCACAGCCCATTTTTTGTCAAAAGGCAGATGTTTGGGGAGCAGTGGTGTCACTTGCTGTGGTCCGCACTCCCCACCCCCTTAGTGATACCTCTGCTCAGCCCCATCCATGCTCTGTGCTTTTCTGCAGGCATGGAGCTAGTGTCTCCTGTCTTTTAATAACAAAACAAAACCTTTAGGTTCTCCTTGGAACAGGCAGTCCAGATATTTTCCTGTAACTTTCAGCATTCCTCACAATTAGCTATGCTAGCCAAGGAACTGATGGGAGTTGCAGTTCAACAACAACATCTGGAGAGCTACATGATTCCCATCCATGCATTAATACCATCTTCTCATGGAAAAGTTTCTAGAGCAGGGGTGGGCAGCTGTGACCTTGTGAATGGCTTTGGACTGCAATTCCCATAATTCTACCTTACTGTCCATGCTGGCTAGGGCTAAAGGGACTTGTAGTTAAAAAGAAAAAATCTGGAGTCCTTAGCCATACCTTGTACAGAAAAGGTTTCTCCGATTTAAATAATGGATCTACAACACGTAGTTGCAGAAACATTTGAAAAAGCATGAAACCAGGCAGTAGCTCCATTCTTGAGCTGCTCAGTCTCAGACTATGGTAGATTTGCTGGATCTTACAATATACATTCAAGACCCCTTCCCATAGTGGGAGCTGTGAATGCTGGGCAGTTATGCCAAAGAAAGAAGGAGGGTTCTTTAAACTCCCAGTAGATGTCCATGGGGAATGCTATGGAAACAGTGCTGCTCCAATAGTGCCTAAACCAGAAAGGCAAGTAAAAGCTAATTGATTAAAAATGTAAATGTTGGGCTTAAAAAAAAAAAGCTGAAATGGAGTTCAAATTTGCTACAAGGATAATCTGAAAAACTACTTTGGTTTGCATTAAATTGCTGGAAATTCTTTCTGTTCTGTACCTTTTTATAGAGCAGGGGTAGGCAACCCTTTTGAGCCGGGGGCCAGGTTGTTGTCCCTCAGACAATTGGGGGACCCGAAGCACCAAAAATAAATAAATAAATATTTTTTTAAAATTAAAAATATGCATGCACACACTCTCAGCCCCAGAAAAGACATGGCAAAACCCCTGTGGAGATTTTGCCAAGAAAACTCCAAGAACAAGTAATAACAATATCATCATGGTAGGGGGCGGCAGGACCGGCCTGGGGCCGGTCCAAAGGCCTCAGGGGGCCGCATCCGGCCCCCTGAGGCCTTAGGTTGCCTTCCCCTGTTATAGAGGTACAGGGTGGTAAAAGTGGATAGCTCTGTTTTACAAGAGCCAGACCTAGTTCTTTCCCATCCATTCAGGCAGCTATGGCTACATTAGCACTCACAGTTTGGAAAGAAGTCTTCCCCATAGCTCTGCCGGGTCTCAGGGCTCATTCGATCCCAGAGTTGACGCAAGGAGGTCTCTATTGATTCAAGGTTGGTCACAGCAGTCTTGAAAAAACCTGGCTCCACAATGGAGACCTTTACACCAAAATGGTACATGTCTCTCCTGAAAGAGAAGGAGTTCCATATGCACACTTGCAACAGTTACAACCACATTCCATCAATGCAGTATGCAGGAACATTTTTACAGAATCAGTTTTGAACACAAGAATTGCACAGCTGCTGATTTGTTAGGTAAAGTAGCCTTCAGTTTGTGGTTGTGTTAATATTTAAATGCTAAAGAGATATGGCATAACTACAGCCTGCATCCAGTCATCTTTGTATGGGTTCTGGGTAGGGAGGAGTCGATTCCAAGTTTGCTTTTACTGTCTGGGACCTTAGCATAACATGCATAAAAGCAGAATGGAGCTTTTTTTGTCCTTGCATTTCAGAGGCAGGAAATTCACAGTCATTGCTTATTGTGCAGTTAAAAAAAGTGTTGAGGGGGGGAAAAACATTGGCAAGACTACATGCAGTAACCACAAAGCGGGAAACTTGCCACCCAAGCAGCTTCCTGTTGTTCTTTAAGTATGCAAAGTGATAAGGTTAAGGGTTTTAACTGCATACATAACTTTTGCCATTTAAACACTTCTTCTTTTTTAGTTCATCATAGGAAACAAAAGACCAAAATTCTTCCTGTCCACCCCCTTCTTTTTATATTGTCACTCAGAGTAACTTAAAACTTTGGCGTGACTGCAATGTTTGAGCCATAGAAAATAAATGGTTGAAGAATGGTTCATTCTGGTATATTTTCATCTTACTCATTGCATCTGACCTTGGTGAGTTGATGCAATTTGGACAGAAGTGGAAAATATCTCTTGAATTCATCTACCTCAAATCATTTTTTTTAAAAAGCTGTTTTTTAATATTCAGATATTAGACCAGGGGTAGGCAACCTTTTTGAGCCAGGGGCCGGGTTGCTATCCCTCAGACAATTGGGGGGCCGAAGCACCATAAATAAATACATAAATAAATAATTTAAAAATTAAAAAATATGCATGCACACTCTCTCAGCCCCATAAAAGCCATGGCAAAACCCCTGTGGAGATTTTGCCAAGAAAACCCCAAGAACAAGTAATAACAACAATAATATCATCATGGCAGGCGGCGGTAGCAGCGGAGGCAGGACTGGCCTGGGGCCAGTCCAAAGGCCTCGGGGGGCCGCATCCGGCCCCCTGGGCCTTAGGTCGCCTACCCCAGTATTAGACACTACCAAGTATATGCTGATAGATATTATGTGATCTAGTAAGCTAGTGTGGTGTAGTGGTTTGAGTGCTGGACTAGAAATCTGGAAAACAGGGTTCAAATTCCTACTTAGTCATGGAAACCCACTGAGGTGACCTTGGGCAAATCACACTCTCTCAGCCTTGGAGGATGTGATTACAATATCAAACTCCCTCTGAAGAAACTTGCTAAGAAAACCCCATGATAGGTTCTCCATAAGTTGGAAACACACACACTACACATGATGTGATTCAGTCATAGTGTTGTGTTAGGTTCTGGCATGGTCAGGGAGGGTGATAATGGCACCAAACTAATCAATGTGCAATCAGTGCAGAAGGCAGGCTGAGATACATCAAGGATGAGAAAATATTGACATGATATGTAGAATACAGCTGAGGAAGAGTGGTTTGCTATTTGCTTATTGGCTATGTAGCTGTTTAAGAAGCAGAGGAGGAACAAAATGAGGGCCTTTATCACTCAAATAAAATACCACCCAAATCTGGCCACCAAATTAATCCCTCCCCCCATTTTTCAATTTTTTTGCATTGCAGGGAGTTGTGTGTGTCTATGTGTCTTCAACTCACCTGATGACTAATGGTGACCCCATGAACTTCATGGGAATTTTTTAAGGCAAGGAATACTTAAGAGTGGGTTTTGCCATTTTCTTCCTCAAATATAGCCTACAGCACCTGGAATTTATTGGTAGTCTCCCATCCAAGTATCAACCAGGACCGACACTGCCTAACCTCCAAGATCAGATGGAATCTGGTGCCTATAGGATATTTAGTTAGACATCAAAAATTGTTCAAACCTTATAGTTTCTGTGTTTGCATTGTAACATTGCCTGCCCCTCTGGATACCTAAATTGGATTTCTAAATACTGACCTTTAGTTTTAAGTTACTATAATGCCAGAAATTTGGGGACTGAAGGAAAATTTCATTGGGAGGTTGGAATTATTTGGGTGGGCAATGCCCTTGTTTCCCCCACCCCACCCCACCCCACCACCATCATCATCGCTGTTAAGATGCTTGTAGAGTTGCATTTCTGTCAAGGGCAAGCACTGTCATGACTTTTCTAATATCCTCCCAACTTGCTAAAGTTTTTCTAGAAGTACAGTGTTTTTGTTATTATTGTTTTAAGTTAAATATCAGAGGCAGGCAACTGTTTTGAGCCTTGTTTTTCCCTCTATGCAGCTTTGTGGCCTATATGGGCAGATTTCTCAAGAACTGGAAATAAAAAGGTGTCACTTCAGACTTTAGTGTTGGTTACTTATAGGTGCTTGTGGAAGGAAACAAAACTGCCATATTGGGCTGGAATTCTGCATAAAATTGTTGTTTTTTGCCAACAAACCTATTCCAAAAATGTTCAGATTGGAAGGGGATGTCAGAGGACTGTGGGTGTCCTGTTAGGGGGACTGAAAAAATGGCCACGAGGGCTGCATGTAACTTATTTTCTTCAACCCTGATGTATGTGGACATGTTGCGCTTACCTGAGAGAACATAAAGTTGCCATCAGTTGAAAAGGACTTAAAAGCACACGACAAACAAAGCAAAATGCACTGTAAGGGCTAAATCAGTAAATCCTGTGTGAAATAAAATGATACTAGCAACACTGTGGATTTGGGAACTTCAACTTTTTATGATAAACTGCAAGATTTTTAAAGAGTGTGTGTGATGTGCTGTAGGGGAATATTTGATTTCTTAGCGGAAAATGAGTATATGTGATCAAATATAGGCTGAAGTGAGTTGGGGAAAAATAATTGAAATGGATAGGAATCCCATGTGAAAATTCTAGTTGCTCACTCTGTCTCCATTCCTGAATTCCTCTCTTTGTGTATATATATTACAGCTAATGCTCCAATGCTGTGCACATTTACCTGAGGGCAGATCTCATTCAGTTCAATAGCACTTACTTTTGTGTACACACATCAAGGACTGCACTGCTAGAGACCTTTTTTTCTTTTCTTTTTGAGAAGGCGGAAGACAAAAATTAATGTTTTGCCACCAGCAGGAGGAGCAGCTGAGATAAACTGCTTCTTTACTTTTGAAGTATGTGCAAAAAAAAGGAAGAATAAAAGCAGGAGGGGACATATGAAAGAAGAGGGGCTGGCTATGGGAATAAAGAAATGCATAGTGTTTGCCAAGAGTAGAAGAAATGAAGAACCAGAAGGCTAGTGAAGACCAGGAGGGGGAAAAACAACAAACAGGAAATGGGAAAATAGAAGGGAACAAAATACGGATGACAGGATGCTAAAGAATGATCACAAGTAAAGCCCTACCTGTTATCCTACCTGAGGCTGTCGGAGAAGGCTTCAACTGTGTATTTGGAAATACAGTAGCCACCACCGTTTGCTGAGAGGCGACCTAAGACACTGGAGGTATTGACCACGCGGCCACGAGCTCGCTTGAGCAACGGCAGGAAAGCCAAAGATACCTCAATCACTCCAAACGTGTTGACTGCCATGACCTTGCGGTAGTCCTCCACACTCATCCATTCAGTAGGGCCAATAGGGTTGGCCACGCCTGCGTTGTTAACCAGACCAAATAACCCTGGAAGGATACAAATGGATTGTTGGTGGGGTGGGGACGGATAAATCACCTTGCTTTCCTCAGCCCAAACTTTTGACCACTCCTTCCTTGGTGGAAGTGTTTGCTGGGATGCCAGAAGATGCATAGCTCTCTCACCCCACCCCAACCCCTGCCTGTCAGTTGGGATTATAGAGCATGGGGTTAAAGGTGAGTTGAGAGGGGAATAAGGAGTTTGCATTCCTACACTGTACACTGAGTGTACTCTTAATTCTGTGAGAGAACTGTGTGGGGAAAGAGAGGTCATATGTAGCTGCCATATGTTGAATCAAGACCATTGATCCATCGGATCTAATGATGCAGACACTCTAGTAGTCTCCAACTGTTTTTGGACTACAGTTTCAATAAACTGATCCACCATGGCTAATAGAACCTGTGGCTTCCATAATCCTATCCACCATGGCTAATAGAAATTGTGGCTTATCCATACTGCAGAAATAATACAATTTGACACCATTTTAACTGCTATGATTCCATCTTCTGGAATCCTGGGTTTATAGTTTGTTGCAGCACCAGAGCTCTCCGACAGAGAAAGCTTAATATCTCTCAAAACTACAAAGCCATAGTATTTGGCCATGGCAGTTAAAGCAGTGTCAGGCTTCATTATTTCTGCTGTTCAGATTAACCCTGTGGGAATTGTAGCCCAGAGTATGTGGAGGGAACTACATTGCCCACCTCTGTTCTGATTGCCAACGTCTCTCCAAGACTTCAGGAAGACCTCTTTCTTATCTTTAGTACCCTTTTTAGCAGGGATACCAAAGACTCTAGAACTGTTTGCATAGGCTTTACTGCTGAGAGGCAACCAATGCCTTCTAATCAGAGCTGGAGGACATGAATTCAAGGCAATGGAAGAATCAGTTTCAGTTCCCCATCTATAAAAGGATATAGTGATGCCACACATTGTGGTTATAAGGAAAGGTGGGAGCATTCTGAAGATTGAAAGTAGTAAAAAAATAATAAATCATAGTTGGATTTTTGAGCCAAAGCTCAGTAAGAGAACACATGTAGAGTTCCTCCTTCCCCAGTTCAACCCTAGGCAACTGCAGTAAGAGCAGGCACAGACTTCTGTCTGAAACCCTGAAGAGCTGTCACCTGTTCCTGTGGTCTGTTCTCAGATACACCAATAAATAGTCTGAGTCAACCAAAGGTACCTTCCTGAATTCCACAACAACTAGACAGCAGTTTCACTAGCAACTGTGTTGTCATTGTATTCCTTGGGCACAGTGGTGAGCAGGCAATTCAAATGTTATTCTTTACTATTTATGCATTACTCCCAGTCAGTGGTGTGGTTTCTGAGTTGTATTAGTATTCTGCATCAGGGCAATGCAAATTTTGCATCAAGAAAAGTTGGATGTTTTGTTATGGGTCTTCAAGTTAGCTTCAGCTGACAGAGACCCTGTGAATGAGAGAGCTGCAGGAGAGACTGTTATTGTTTGCTCAAATTTTTCAAACTCATGGTTTTCTTGACTGAGCCAATCCATTTATAATGTGGCCTTCCTCTTCTCACACTGCCCTCAGGTTTATTGAGCATTATTCCCCCCCCCCCCCGGTGAATCACGTCATTTCATGATATGTCCAAATTATGTAAGTTAATGTGTTTATATCATTTGTTTCATATTCTTATTTTACTTGAGCTATTGGAAATTTAGAGCACTGGACTTAGACCAGGGGGACCCAGGTTCAAATCCCCATTAAGGTTATTTTATTTACACACAGCCCTAACTCCAGCCTTTTTATTCCCTGATCCCTCCTTGGGTGAGACTCACCTTTTTCACCCACTTCTCCCTTCACCCACTCCACTGCTTTGCGGATGCTCTCGGAGTTGGTGACATCGAGGAGGATGGTGCGGAGGTTTGGTGAACTGGAACGCTGTAGATTATCAGCTCCTTTCTGAGTCAGACAACCAGCTAACACTTGGAAGCCCTTCTTGTCAAGCCGCTTTGCCAACATGTTCCCAAAACCTGTATCACAGCCTGTGATGAAAACATACTTATCCTTGAAGGTGCTCAACATTTGCCGGTCTCGGAAGAACCAGACCACAGTCCAAAGGACACTGATGAGCAGCACATAGCACCACATTGTAGAGTTGTCCCTGGATGCCTGCAGGAAGAGGGAAGATTGGCCAAGAACTGAAGGGTGACTGGCTTTCAGCTATAACTCAAATTTGTTATCTTCTCAAAGTTAGGAATGGGAACTGTCTATCCTAATCACATATGTAAAGGCATGTTCAAATTACCAGGTTTTTAGATCTAGAACAAAGACTTTTAAGGGTATCCCTGGTCTGCTGATATAACCTGGGCCTGATACTCTCGGCCGATCTGGTTAGATGAGGTAGCAGTAACAACAGTAGTGTGTTCTCCCACCTTTCAACACTTGCTAATGAATAAAGAAGGTATTTCAGTGGTTCCCAAACTTTGGTCACTCAAGTATTTTGAACTTCAGTTTGCAGAAGCAACAGCCAACTCAACCAACAAGAAGTTCTGGGAGATGATATCCCAAACATTGGAGGACCAAGGTTTGGGAACCTCTGGCCTATCTAATCTGTGTTAGAAATGTTACCACCAAAAATAATTGCTAAATTTAATTAATGCAAAATCTATGTGCTTGCAAAAATAGCTTGGGTTTCACCTCTCCTTCCCTAGTTGAAAACCAAAACAGAATGTGCTGGTACTCAGACTCCTTAACCCAGACTCAGAAAGGGCTACTAGGCAAAGGTCAAGTAATATTCCACCACAACACATAAAGCACTCTTTATAATCCTATCTTGCATGCAATTTATCATAAAATGTTGAACCCTCTCATGAAGATTTTAAATTATGTAGTGAAACAGCAGCAAAAACATGGATGGGTTGGATCCTTGGGAAATTCTACTTCACCAGATGGAAAGGGATCTTGTAGCACCTTTGAGACTAACTGAGCAAAAGAAGTGGTAGCATATGATTTCATACACTTGGTCTATTACCTCACATCAGGTCTACAAAAGCTTATGTGACAACTTATTTTGCTCAGTTAGGGCCTTTACAGACTGCCAGAAATAGTGCAACTTGAAGCCATTTTAACTGTCCTGGCTCAGGGCTAAGGAATCATGGGAACTGTAGTTCACTGTGGCACCAGAGCTATCTGACAGAAAAGGCTCAATGTCCCAGAAAAAAATACAGTTCCCATGATTCCCTAGCACTGAGCCAGGACAGTTAAAGTGGCCTCAAGCTGCACTATTTCTGTAGTCTGTAAAGGCCCTTAGTCTCAAAGGTGCTACAAGATCTCTTTGCATAATGATATTCCAGACTTACACAGCTATGTCTCTGAATTCTGTTTCAATAGATGTTATATTCAGCCTTGACCCCAAACCTAATCAACCCTGGCATGCATTTGACATGTGCCAACTGAGCGTTATGGGACTGTAGTGGCTTAGCTCCAGCTCAATGCCTGGGAAATGGATGCTCAGCTTTCTCTCACATGGATGCTGTTGAGACTCTGAGTTAAGTATTAGAGGATTAGCCCCCTGATCCAGAATTCCAGGAGCGGGCAAAGTTTTATAACCCAGTTTTGTAACTGGCCTCATCCCAAACAAGGATAGAACCTATGGGGCCTGCTTTACATATGGTTCAGCATATAAACATTGGGAGAAGAGAAAGGACAATGTACATTTTAAAAAGAATTGAAATTTACTTATATCCAGTCTGCTCAGACAAGAGATAGAATCTTGGGATGGTTTTTCCATCCTGAAATGTAGCCTGAATCAAGTCACATATATACAACTAACCTTCAGATTGGCAGATTTGTTAAATTTCTTAAGCCCATCATCATCATGGTTGTTTTTCATATATTAATTTAAATATATGCACATTCCCACCTGGACTATTAGCAGAGGCATAGCACTGAACATACTGCAGCCTGGCTCCTGTTCACCAAGTTGCCAATCTATGTACAACTTAGCTTAGCACTCAGCCTGGTATGGCAATTATTATATCACATTCTTCCTCGAATATTAGATAACTGTATCTAAGGATAACTGCCAAATAGAGAAGCAGAGCTGCACCACTGTTCTTGGTTGATACAATAAGCTGTATACTCAAGGCAAATAAAATTCCGAGTGCTAAATTTCAGTGCCTCCAGCACTAGCTGTCTCAGTGTCTCTTGTTCCTTCATCAGGTATGATTTTCTTCTACCTTTATCAGTTAATTAAAGGACTATTGTAAATTCTTCAAAAGCTCTTCATAGAAATTTCTTCCTTCCGGTCAAACAAAGGGTGCAAATCTAGAATACATGAAGTGGAAGGTGGTTTAATGAAGTGACAGAATCCTAAGTGGTCAAGTGGACTGTAGTACTTTACACTGCAGGCGTGTGATCATATTTTGAAAGTACACCCATTTTTAAAAATAAACTTCAGCAAGGAAAAGGCTAGGTTATGAACCATTTCTTCTGATTAGCTAGTTGTTTGCTAGCAGAGATATACATATAGATCAGGGATAAGAATCATGAAGTCCACCAAATGTTGGACTGAAACTCTCAGCAGCCTCAGCCAGCCTAGCCAGTGGTGGAGAATGGTCAGGGTGACCAGACATCCTCCTTCTCCAGGACACATCCTACATTTCCATCTATCCAGGAGGCATTCCAAAATGTCCTCCATTTTGAGCATGACTAGGAACCACAATGAGTAGCATCACATTTGCTGTTCCTCTTGGAGAAATCCATCTACTTGCAGCCTGTCTTTACTGCTGACAGAGGGATAGGATGGATCCTTGTAAAGTTATTTTTTCCTATGAGCAGCGGCAGACAAGATTTGCCCCTAGAGCTCTGGGAGCGGTAGTTTCTCAGAGGGAAAAAAGGACAGTAAACCCATGTTAAGCAGTAGCCTGCTTGAGGATACAATGAAATGCTGAAAGTGTTGTTGTTTTTTTCCCTTAACTTCAGCATAATGGACAAACGAAACCAATAATTTAAATGTAGATTCAGTCAAGGCTTTGTTGCAAGTAAAGTACAATTTTAAGCATTTGTCTTGCTCAGAGTTCTATAAGTATATTGCAAGCCTACAAGGTGTTTTAATGAAGATACGTTAAGGAAACTATGGTTGACTACATAATAAAATACAGTATATGTAATATAGCTGTAAATAAACAATATGAAATTTGTGTTTATATTAGTGTTTTTAGTTTTTATTTTGTAATGTCATACATTTTCTTGAATGTCCTACATTTTGCAGTGCCTTGTCCTCCTTTGCAGTTATGACATCAAATCACTCAGGGAATGGTGGGAGTTGCAGTCCAATATCTAAAAGGCAGCACTATTCCGTTACAGACAGAGTCATGGTTTGAATTCCATCTGTAGTCTATTGCTTTCACTTTACCACCTTGGGATTTTACCACCACACTTCTGTTGCATGTATATTATCAGGTCAAGCACAGGTTGAGAATCCCTTATCTGGAAATCTGAAATACTCCATAATCCCAAACAGGTAACTGAGATAGTGACATCTGTGATTTTTGATGGTTCAATGTACACATACTTTGTTTCATGCATAAAATTATTTAATATATATATATATATATATAATTACTTGCAGGTTATGTGTATAAAGTGTATATTAAACATAAATGAAGTTGATGTTTAGACTTGGGTCCCATATCCAAGATATCTCATTATGTGTATGCAAACATTCCAAAATCTGGAAAAAAAACAAAAAACCTGAAATCCAAAACACTTCTGATCTCAAGTATTTTGGATAAAGGATACCCAACTTGTACAGCATTATAATTTTTTATTCCTCTCAGGAGAAAATTTACAATAATTTTTGGCAGTGATCTACCTACATACATCTATATAGGGGTTTTCTCCATATATTTAAATGGTGGTCTAACAGAATTCTGAAGAAGAAAAATGGAATTGTCAAAGTAGACTCTGCAAAACAAATGCTTATTCTATCATAAATCCATTAGTTTTTAATATGTCAGAGGACTCTGTTGCTTTTCCTGTAACAAATTATAAGGTATTTACAAAAACCTTATCTGTAGTTGTCATCTGGGCTCATGCCTTGTTGATGTCCTTTTTGCAAATATGAGGGGTTTGATGGAAACTTATTATTGTTCATTTATCTTGAAGGAAATGGACTCTTGATCAAAGAATGATATTGTAAGAGATATCACTTAATTTAGGATACAGGGGAATGTTAAAGCTAGGTCAGATAGATCTCTATTTTAACTTTTAATACAATTAAGGAACTGGTCACTAGTTACCCACTCTGGTATTTCTCAAAGAGAATACACAGTTATTGGCCTGAAATCTGACTCCATGGTGTAGTCATTCTAACCTGACAAACAAAATGATGTGAATCAAGGGGGGGTTGGAAGGTGAGATTAGATTAAATTAAATTAAAAATACATACAGTGACATCACTAGGATTGGCATCACTTGGTGCAGTAACTCATGGTGTCCTCTTATATCATACCATACAGAATCCTTAGTTTAAAAAAATTGTACTAAAGTGACTTATAAGTTGTAATTCCTGTATAACGTTGAATGTATGGTAATAGTTGTGACATAAACAACTAATGAAATTAAAATTATACTTTTAAATTACAATATCATGCACACAGCCTAAATGTATTTACACAAACATAGTTTCATGTCTGAAAAAGTGAAAATTTGGTCAGATGCAATGTTTCAATGAAAAATTTTAAAAGAATAAATAATTTACAATTTTATTCTTTTTAAAAAAGACCTGGGGACTCACCTTTCTCCTCCCATTGAGCCTCACCCCACTCACACCATCTCTTTTGCATTTTAAAGGGGTGCAGGTGAACACCACAGTCCATTTATGCCCAAAGGTTATGTTTGGGGAGCAGAAGTGTCACCCCACTTTAGAGTGTCGCCTGGTGCAGTCTGTCCCCCCGCACCCCCTGTAGTGACACCCCTGATCACACAGTGTTAGAACTAGACACAGCTTCAGTATTTCAAATGCCAAGCCTTTACAAAAATGAACAAACCACCAAACCTATAACCAAACTGTACTACTTTCTTCCACAGCATGAATGTTGGAGACAACATCCCTAGTTCTACTCTCATCTTGTAAATACAACATGTTGGCTCTTCTAAGCAATTCCAAAGCAGGAATAACTTTTTTATGTGTTACAAACACCAACCCTGACCATTGCTTCCCCTTCATCCCCCCCCCAAAAAAACCCCTAGCTGTCCATTGTGCCATTCACAGGATAGTAATCCTGCAAAGAAAATAATGTGTTGTATTGTTGTAGTGGTTTGAGTGCTGGACTCTGACTCTGGATGCCTGGGTTCAAATCCCCATTCAGCCATTGCAATCTACTGTCACACTCTCAGCTTCAGAGGAAGGCAAAGGCAACGGCAACCTCTCCTCTGAACAAATGTTGCCAAGAAACTCCCATGATAGGGTTGCCTTAGGGTCACTTGAAGTTGGAAACAGCAGACTTGAAGGAACACAAGAACGGTTTTCTTGTAATTGTCTGGGACTGGTCATGGTGCAATGCCATCTCTCTTCCCCATCTCATATGCCCCTCTTACCTTCTCACTAGGTGAGTGTGCCAACAGCTTCAGCAAAAACTGGAAGCAGCAGCAGCAGCAGCAGCAGCTATGCCCTATCGTGGCTAGAACTGTGCTTGGCTTCAACTGCGCAAGACAGCAGACAAAAGTTCTGATCTTAGCCAAAGTCCATGAAGGGGGAGAGACCAGAGCCCTCCCCAACTAGCTCCTTGTTGAAGGACACCCAGGGGCATAGATTGAGTTCAGCATTAACTCTTGGTGCAGCCGCAAGGAAAGTTATCCAGTCCCCTTCCATTCATCTATACACCAATTAAATAACATGGGAACCTGGAAAAGTATGGCTTTGGGGAATCATAAAATACTAAAGGATTGTATTGTGCTGACCATGTGTAGAAAAAACGACAAAAGGATCAAGTCTCCTTGAACCCTGCCCCAGAACAAGCTAGAACTGCAGCCAAACCATGTCATTAGGGAGGCAATCAGAAAACAATGGGGAGTTTACAACTCTATTTATACCACATTCTTCCTATAAGGAGATCAGAACAGCAGATATGAGTTTGCCTTCTAAGGAATAATCCTCAGAACAACCTGTGAGGATGGTTTAGTGCTGACTAGCTCCCAAGAATCCAGTGAATTTCATGGCTGATGAAGAATTTGAACGTAGGTCTCCCTAATCTGATACTCTAAAACAGTTTACCCTTAACCAGCTGTGGCCTACTGAGGAAGCATTATCCTCATAGCATGCTTGCTAAGTCATAGATAAAATCATTTGGATGTAAAAACAGCATTCCATAGAGGGTGACTTTATTCTGATTTGTAGGTGTATTTATGATATATGTATGAGACACAGATCTCAGGCAGACATTCAGTGAGATATTTCTGCTGTCATCCGACTACTGGCGCTTAATAAATATACACTTTACAGTCTGATAAAGAAGAAATATAGGTTCGCCTTATCATAAGTCAAAAATGACTTGAAGGCACACAACAGCAGCAGCAAGGAAAAGTATGTGTCTGTGTGTGGGAGGGAGGAATTTAGCAGCATCTGATAGCTTATGTTGAAATATGTGAGTCTCAAAGGAACTATTAGATTTCTCCTTCCCACCCCCCCTTTCCTTGTAACACAGGTATCTCCCTGAAAACCTTCATAACCTGTGTAACTTTGATCTTTGTTGATCCTACAATGTCCCCTTGTGTATATTTTCCAGAAGCTCATCACACATGTATTTTGTTTCATTCTAAATATATGGGAGTTGCCCTCAAAGAGGGGAAGGCATTCCTGTTTAATTCTCATTTACACAGTACCATTCTAAGTGCAGAATCAGGGATTTTATTCAGAGTGCAATGGGAAATATGCAACAGCGCTCCTCTCTAGAAGCTGTTGTAAGGAGGTGAGGGAGGGAAACTGCCTAATTTTGTTATGTTCCTTCAAGTAGGTTCTGACTTCTAGTGACCTTGTTGTAGGGTTTTCTTGCCAAGATTTACTCAAAGAAGATTTACCTTTGCTCTCTTGTGAGTATTGCCTACAGCACCTGGTATTTCCTGGTGGTCTTCCATCAAAGTGCTAACCAGGCCTGACATTGCTGAGCTCACAAGGTCAGAGGACTTGGTGTCTTCAGGATATTTGAGCTTCACCTGGCTGCTAATAACATCCCTGTATATCACAGCCCTCTAGGGCCATAAAGGTAAAGGTTTTCCCTTGACATGAATGTGTAGTCGTAACCAACTGTAGGGAATGGTGCTACTCTCCATTACTAAGCCAAAGAGCCAGCGTTGTCCGAAGACGACTCCGCCGATCCTATGGCCAGCATGACTGCACCAAACGCTGTCACTTTCCCATTGAGAAGTGGTACCTATCTATCTACTTGCATTTGCATGCTTTTGAATTGCTAGGTTGGCAGAAGCTGGGATTAGTGATGGGAGCTCACCCCATCATGTGGCACTTGGGCCTCAAACTGCCAACTTTCCAACCTTCTGATCATCAGAACTGGCGTTTTAACCAGTTAATTATATTATACAGATCAGCTTCAGATCATCTCTCCATTTCTATTGAACCGATTTCACAGTTGTAGGTAAAATTTGTTTTAAAATGATTCTTAAAAAGTATTTAGGGCAACAGAAATTTCTTCTAACCTGGTACTCCCCAATGAGATGAAGGAGGTGTGGTCTTAACACATCAGAAGGTGGTGCATTAATTACTAGGCATGAGGCATAACAGGCAAGCACAGTGGAAGCAACTGGTCTCAAAAAGTAGTTTATAATTTTGTTGTTGTGTATCTTCATTTCCAACTAATGGTGGTCCTTTATTGTTGTTTTTAACCGCCCTTGAGTCAATCTCAACCCATGGCAACCCTGTGGATAAGACATCTCCAAGACTCCCTGTCCTCCACTGCTCTGCTCATTTCCTGCAAATGTACCCTTGACCTCTTTAATAGAGTTCATCCATCTAGCATGCAGTCCTCCTCTTATTTCTACTTTCCTCCACCTTTCCGAGCATTATTGTTTTTTCCAATGATTCATGCTGTCTCATTATGTGTCCAAAGTACGAGTCTCAGTTTGTCACCTTGGCTTCCAAGGAGATTTCTGACTTGATCTGTTCTAGTACCCATTTGTTTGTCTTTTTGGCTGTCCATGGGATCCTCAGCACTCTTCTCCAACATCACATCTGGAATGAATCAATTTTCTTCCTCTCATCTTTCTTAACTATCCAGTTCTCACATCCATACATGGTAATAGGGAATACGATGGCTTGTATAATTCTAACTTTTGTGCAGAGTTGTATGTCTTTGCATTTTAGGATCTTTTCTCATTCTTTCATAGCCACCCTCCCAATTCTTAGTCTTCTTCTGATTTTTGATCCCAGGTATGAGATCTCTTTTACTATTTCTATTTCTTCATTGTCTAGGTTGAGCCTATCATGAGGCTTTCTTGGCAAGATTTGTTCAGAGGGGAGTTACCATTGTTTGCTTTCCTAAGAGAAGATGATTTTCTCAAACACTGTCCACCACAGTCCTAGGCCAGCACTCAAACTATAGCACCATACTGTTATATGCTTGCTTTTTAATAAATGTGTGTGTGTGGGGGGGGAGATCTTAAAATAGCAAAATAGCCTCTTTGTTGTTCTGGAATGTTCATCACAAGATTCAGAATGAGAGGTCTGAATAATCAATCTTTCTACAAGCAGAGAGAATGGTCTGAAATTCTCAATGCCACAAGCCATATTTGTTAGTGAATGTCCTGAACTATGTCTGGTGCCTTAGTGCTAAAATGGAAGAAGAAAGAACTTCAGATCACTTCAGGAATAGGAGAGAGAGGGGTTGAGTAAGAAACTTTCACTGTTGTTTTTTTGAATAAAAATGCCCCCCCCCCAGTTCCAGTCAGTAACAAATTCAGTATGTTTCATCTCTTAAATCTGCTAGTATATTTTATATTCATCAAGTCACAGAGTGTTGTTTTTTAAATTGACTGTAACAATTCTTCATGTTTAGAGAGGTCTCTACAAAAAATCCTGAATCATCCAGAGGTAGTCACTACTCAGAAGGGAAACAAAGGTCTTGCTTCTTCTGAGTTTGGCTGCTAATGGTGGAAGGAAAAGCTGGGCTCAAGAGAAGTGATGGAAACTGGCTAATTAGAATCCATTACATTATGAAATAAATTGGACATTTGCTAACAAAAGAGGCAACTTAAATTTATTTTTTAAAGTGATTGACTTAGCATCTACATCTCTCCAGTTATTATTAAACGATAGCCAAAACTGAGCAGCCAACAAATGTTACATTACTGATGTGGATCTTTACCCAAAGTATAGTTGTATTACATATATTTTTGTAAAACTGCTAGTTAATTCATCCCAGGTTTAGATCAAAAGATCCAGTTGAGAAGTCATAAACAAATGCATGCCTATTATTTTCATGATCAGATGCATGAATATGCCCAAATGGCTAAAATAATAACGTAATTGTCTATTTTAGTTCAGAGTATGATAATAAGAACAATACAGGCCACTTGGAAGAGGGGTGGTTTCCTTCCAAGTTTTTGTGTAAACATTACATAGAGGCTCTTAATATCTCCCAGGAAATGAAATTTCTCAAGTGCTTCCTTCTGGAACTTTCATTGGGATTTATATGGGAGTCAGCTAATGAAAGATGGAATAAGAAAAGGAGATAAGGCTATAAGGGGAGAGGAAAGAGGAAAGCAAGAGAAAGGTTTTTGGTGGGATGGGTGAAAATATTCAATGAGTATTAAAAAAAATCATGCAGCTGTTTCCTTCCCCCTGAAACTAAAAACACAAATAAGGAACAGGTGGGAAACCAATTAAGTCAAGATAGGACTTTTCATCTTTACTCTATTCTACATGGGCACTCTATGTGAGGCTGCCTTTGGAAAGTTTCTAAACTTCAGCGAGTATAAAATGCTGTGCTCAGAATGTTCATTGGAACCAGTAATAGGAAACATGTAACTCCCTTGTTAAAAGTTTCACTGATTCCCAGTTCGTTTCTGGACACAATTCAATTGGCTGGTCATGACCTATAAAACCCTATACACCTTAGATCCATACTATCTGAAAGGTCCTATCAGGGGAAGGCTTTTTCTATTGCCACCATCATTGCAGGTTTATTTGGTGAGAACATGAGAGGGAGCCTCCTCACTGGTTGCTCTCACTCTGTAGAATTTCCTTCCATGGAAGACTTGGCAGGTCTCCTTCCTGCTTTGCTTTTGCCAGCAGGCAAAGATTTTCTTATTTAAGCAGACTTTTCATGTGTAATTTTTTACCTTTGTAAGCCATATAAATGAT